CGATTGATTATTCATCTTTCACATGCTCAGTGCACAGCTCCTGCCTCTCTGTGCTTAGATTATACATTACGTTATAGTGGAAAACCTATATATGGCTGCACGAAATTTTAGATTTAACTTTTGGCTTTCCTGGCATTGGAAAGGTTTTCCTTCATCTGAATTTCATTTTTTTCATAGCTTTAAAATCTTTAAAGTTCTTTTTTTTTTTTTCTTTTTGTAGTACTGTAGTACCCCCTTGATTTTATGTTTCCTTGGTTGTTTCAGTGGGAATTAGATACTACTGGGTCTCAATTTGCCAGCTTTAAATGCAGTTGCCTTCCTCTAAATTATGTCAGAATTTTCCAAGTTTTCTCCCTTCCAACCAAATTTTATAGTTAACTTCCTCATCATGGATTTGATTTATATTTTTGTATTTTAATCTCTTTGTAATCTCTTGCTTTCTTCCTCTATTACCTTTCATTTGAGTATCAAGACTTTTCACTGTCTTTTCTTCTTCCTTGGCTTTATTAAAGATACTTCGGAGTCTTGCAAAAATAGCTTCTGGTCCCTATAAGAAATCATTTTCCGAGATATGATCCTCTCTGAGTATTCAGACTGATATTCTCTTCAGCCCTTGCTTTAATATATTTTTCATCAATCTCATGTAGGATCCCCTTCTCCATTTTCTGTTTTACTTACCTCATTATCTAGGAAAAATCTGTACAAACTTGTTATTTTAAATGAAGAGGTTTGTGTTCCCAGCATACATAACAGAGATGTTAGATGCTACAACACTAAACGTGTACTGTCATCAGGGACCTTCCTGTGTTCCTCCTACTCTTTGATGTTTTACCTTTGAGGAGAAAATGCCCTCCAGTGTTGCCGGCATAGTGTTCCTCTTCCCTGCTGACCCCACCCCCCACACACATTCCCTCCTCCTTCCTGCACACAGTATCACAAGCATGGTTTTCTACCCTTTTTGTCATCTAGAAATTGCCATCTCTGAGTAAGTAAAGAGAGATGAGGATTAAGCACAGGAATAATACTCTGGCTCCTTGAAAACAAAACCACAAAAAAATAAAAACAGTACTCCAAAGTAAGGGACTGGCTTTACATTTTTCTGAATCTATGACAAACATTATAGATTAGTAGAGATCTTTTTCCCCCTTTTATTTCTTTTACTTTCGTTGAGGAACCAAGGCTTCTATGTTTCACGAAGTGGCATGTGTGCACTCCTTATTGCTGTTCCTAATCCAGCTCCATCAATTTTATGGTTTGTGGAAATTTCCTATTAGGTTGCTGCTCTTGGTGACTTTTCCTTCACTCTTTGTCTTTTATTTTTAGGGTCGTGTGGACTTTTGACATTGTCAGTGTTTTCTTGGGTATCTATTGAAAGGTTGTAATAACCCTGTGTAAAGGTCGTGACTTGGAGACATTTTATTTCATTTTTTAAAAGAGTTTATTTATTTTGAGAGTGAGAAAGAGAGCACACGAACAGAGGATGGGCAGTGAGAGAGAGAGGAATTCAAGTAGGCTCCTCCCTGTCAGCACAGAGCCTAATGCGGGTCTTAGTCTTACCAACCGTGAGACCTGATCTGAAACTAAGAGTCAGATGCTTAACTGACTGAGCCGCCAAGGTGCCCCATAACTTGGAAAAATTTTAATTCCATCTTTTAAAATTGCAGTTTGTTCATTGAAGAAATTGATATAGAGGAGTAAGGAGAATCTAGGAAAACTGTCTTGAATGCTGATGTTCCGAACCTTTTTATAAGGTTGTATGTAAATAGCGAGGCAGCTTTTTATGAAGCCTCCTGTTAATTGAATTTTAGCTGATTTATTTATCATCAGTCTTTCTGTTTACCTATCTATATTTATTTATTTAATATATTTTAGCTGCTTTATTTTAGCGTAGAAGGGACACTAGGCTGGAGTAAGGCTAGCTGAAGTCCAGTCCAGGATCTGATACTATCTACCTGTGTACAGTGATTCACATTAATTTTAAAAGTAAAAAAAAAAAAAATTGGGGTGTCTGGGTGGCTCACTTAGTTAAGCATCTGGCTTTAGCCCAGGTCATGATCTTGTGGTTCACACGTTTGAGCCCCGTGTTGGGCTTTGTGTTGACAGCTCAGAGCCTGGTGCCTGCTTCAGATTCTGTGTCTGTCTCTCTCTCTCTGCCCCTCCCCCATTCGTACTCTCTCTTTCAAAAATAAATAAAACATTAAAAAAAGTGATAAAAACTAAAAAGTAAAATGAATCAAGTAACTGTTATTTTAGACAAGCCAGTAAACCTCTGCCTCAGTTTCTTTATTTTTAAAATTAGGGGAAAATCTATAATACTTATAAATTACTTTATACATGTTTAATTTCACAGCATTATAAAACCAAGTCAGTGTACTAATAATTGAGATCTGGTGTACTGTCGTGAGTTCATAAAGAAGCTAGTGCAAAATTTCTAACCTCATCAACCTTGAATTCTTTCTATGTGCATTGATTTTCAGTTTTGATTTTTAACAAACTCCGAATTTGTAAGTATTGGTGTTTCTATTACATTTTTGGCAACAGCATTTTCACTCACAGAAAATGTTGCAATCAGCATCATCTATTGAAAATAGTGTGTTTGTGTTGAAGCATCTTTCTACCATAGGTGACTGATACCGATGGGTCTTTTTTCATCCATATTTTAGTGAGAGTGCCCTAGGTTAGTTATGATATTCCAGATTTAAAAGAGACCAGAAGAAGCAAAATATTGGGACTGTGAGTTATGTTCAGGGACAAAGGCGTTTTGTAAACTCTGTGATTATACTTTGCTTGACCTTCTTGTGAAGTGGGGACAGGAGTACTCTGAGAATGACTCAGAGAGCAGCTAGACCTTAGTCACTCTAGGACTTCATAGACAAAAGTTATCAAACTCATCCTTTGACTTTGAAGGGATAGTGTTTTTGTATTCGATTTAGGTCAGCATTTCGAACCTAGCCATTTTACATAGAGCATTTTATTTAAATTTCACAATAGTCTCTGAAAAGTAGGTTTTGCTATATTTACTTACAGACGAGGAGATTAAGACTATGGGAGAATATGCAAATTGCCCCATGTCATATTAATTAGTGGTGGAGATAAGATTCAGTCTATAATTTGTCTGACTCTAAGTTCATGCTTGTCAACATCGTGTTGAGTCTAACAGGTAGGATTCAGTTCTTCTGCATGTTAACAGTAACCCAGCTACAACTGCATTCCTAAATAGAGCTTTAATTATTGTATAGAACAAGCCGTACACAATTGATATGCAGATACTTAAGAAACCACACTCCTTCTAGCTGCCTTTTCTCCCATTGTTCTCCCATTGGACTTTCATCCTCGTTGTTGCAAGACTGCTGCTCTACCTTCTGGTGTCATGTATGTATTCCAAGCAGGAGAGAAGGGCTGAGCAAAGGAGAAAAAAAATCACTTGTTATCTAAATTTAATATTTTTCTTAATAGCTTACCTGGAAGCTTTTCATAATATACTTCCATTTGTATCTCACTTAGCCTTAAATCTACATTTGTGGCTATTCCAAGCTTCAAGAGAGTGTGGGAATTCATATATTAAGTCAAAATTTATTAAAATATAATTTAGATACAATAACACTCACACATTTTATGTATACAGATCTATGACCTTTGACAATGCATACACCCGTGTAATCACAATCAAGATTATAGAATATTTCCATTTTGAGGAGCAATGTTAACTGAGCATTTTGCCTTCTTGAACAAAACTGAGGTTTAGTTCTGAAAGGAAGGAGCAGATAAGATTCGGTAGGCAACATTGTCATATTATGGCTAAATTTTTTATTGAGGTATAATTGACATATAATGTATTAGTTTCAGGTGTACAACATAATGATGTTTGTGTATGTTGTGGCATGATGACCACAATGTCTAGTTTCTATGTACTTAAATAATGGCTTGGAAAAGCAATAGAGGAATTATCCATAGGGGAAAGAAGACTGTAGTTATTATTAACCTAGCTTAAAACAGGAACTTGGATAAATCTGCCAGATCTATTTATGTCTCAATTTTCTAATATTTAATAGAAAAGATTTCTAAAAGGTCTTGAACGTGTCAAAAATTGTGGTTCAGTGAGTGAGATAACTTATATGAAAGCACACTGAGGTCTGGAAAGCTCTTTTCAAATATAAAGAATTGTCTTTTTCCCCCTGATTAGATGTGTTTGCTTTTGATAATGATGATGAACTTGACTTACTGGCCTGAACTATCACCATTGTGAAATTCTAATGTAATTGTAAAATATACTAAGTCTTTAATTTATCACTGGCTTATAAATCAAGGCAATATATGGCCTTAGGGAGAGTCAGTTTCACATTTGCATTCTTACCAGTTCTCTTTCCAACTATATCTCTTTCAATTGGGTAAAAATAGCGCTAAATGTATAATTTCCTGAAGCTATCAAGTATATGTATATTTATGACTAATAAATTCTTGTGTGATTTTTTAGTTATTATATAATATTTTAAAGATAAGTCTTGACAGTCTTCTAATCAAATGGGAATATAGATCTGAGAAATTATACTTTTATAAAATCAAATAATCTGAACTGTTGGAGTGTTTAAGGAGACTATTTTTAAATTTGTTCTCTTTCTTTTTTTGAGGAAAACACTCTTGAAATTCACTTCTTGGAATCAGGTGTAAAAAATTAAAGATCAAAGCCTATTATGACATTTTGGGGACCAGACCTCCTGATTGCTTGTTGTACAGGATCTATGAAGATGTTTTGTAGTATTTATTACTCTCAGAGTTTTGACAGAACACAACTCTGAACTTGAATATCTTTCAAAATGTGCTTTTTTCCTATAGACTTCAATCATGGCTAGTGTCAACCAATACTGGTCTTTAGTAAAAGTAAATGTATCTAGGATATTCGTTATCACTGGCCATTTACTTTTATCATTAAACATTGTTTATTATTATTTTAAATATTATTTTAAATAAGGTCTTTGTTGTTTTGTTCACAAAATTCCTAGGTTGGATTCAACACTGGCTTTGCTGGTCCTTGGGGAGGCTGCCAAATTAAACATGGCCTGCTTGAAAGCTTTAATGGAATTAATGAGAGATTTTCTTTTAGGCATTATGTCTGTTCAAAATCAGGTAACAGTATGTTGTTAATTTAGGTGTGCTAAAAGACATGAAGAGGAACAAATTTTATTTTTGCGACTATTTAAATTGTATATCATATATCATATTAGGGCTTATAATGAGCATAACTTTTTAATAAAAATTTTAATTAAATATAAAAGTAAATGCACATTTACCATATAACCTAGTATGGATAGGTAGACAGGGATGTAGAGATATAGAAATAGATTACACACACACACACACACACATACATGAGAGGGACATAATGTTTTAAAATTTTCATTTATTTATTTTGAGAGAGAAAGAATGTGGGGCAGAGTCAGAGAGAGGAGGAAAGAGAAAGAATCCCAAGTAGGCTCCATTCTCAGTACAGAGCCCAATGCTGGGCTTGATCTCACAACTGTGAGATCATGACCTGAACTGAAATCAAGAGTAGGACACTCAACTGACTGAGCCACCCAGGCTTCCCTACATGAGAGGAACGTTAAATTTTATTAACAAGCTTGAGACCAAATAGTCATATATGGTTTTGTTTCCTTTTTTAAAAAATTTAAAGCATATTACAAAAATACTTTTTATTGTAATTACGTATTAAAACTTACATTTTGGTCTGCATGAGATAACTTAACAATTCCTTCATTGTTGAACTATGAGTTTGTTTCTAATTATTCACAGTTAATTGCAAATAATGTTGAACTGGTATATCTTATGCATAAAATCTTTATCTGTGTTTATGACTATTTCTTCAGAATAGATTCATAAATTGAATTACTGAATGATAGACTATGAACTTTCTTTTAATATTCTCAGGAAAAATGTTCATATTCCTCTTCAGAAGATATAACTGTCTTACTCTCCTATGAAAAATGTATAAAGTGCTGCACACAAGAATTGAGCTTTATATAAAAAAGATTCTTTTATAATATGGAAAATGCTATCTCATGGGATTAATTTATATTCTATTGATTACTAAGGAAATTGAAAAGTTGTTCTTTATAAACCTTTTAGCTATTTGTATTTTTTATTCCTTGAGATAGATTTTATGCAGTCTACCCATGGAAAACCTGTTTTTTAATTGAGTACATTCTAGAAATATTAGTTTGTGATGGTCCTTTAACAACTCTATAAAATTTGAAGATGTTTCTTACCATGCATACACTATGTACTTTTAATTATGATAAAACATATTTTGATTGTCTAATAACTGTTTTCTCAATTTAGGAAGAAAGCTGCAAAGTAGATGATGCTTCCTGGGCCTGGAATGTTGTCTACATATACACAACAATTCTGGCAGAAATCTGCTTGTATGCAGCCACCTCTAATTTGCGAAAAACTGCTTTTATTGGTTTCTGTGTCTGTACAAGATCACAAAAAGACATTTTACTCATGGATAAATCAGAAGAACCACAAGAATTGAAGGAAACAAGTATTTTAGGTCTTTTGGACTATTTCTCTTCAAAAATGTCAGATAATTGTAAGTAAATTATTTCTCAACTTGTTGGGACACATTTCTTAAATGTCTATCTGCATATAGCAATAAGTATTTTATATTTTATTTTATTTTATATTTTAATTTAATTTTTATGATACAGTGTTTTATTAGTTTCAGGTATATAATATAGTGAGTGATTCAACAACTCCATACATTACTCAGTGCTTATCAGAAGTGCACCCTTTAATCTGCATCACCTATTTAACCCACCCTCCCAACAATCTCCCCTCTGGTAACCATCAGTTTCTTCTCTATATTAGAGTCTGTTTTGTGGGTTTTTTCTCTCTTTCTCTTTTTCCTTTGCTCATTGTTTTGTTTTGTTTGTTATTTTCTTAAATTCTACATATGAGTGAAATCATATGGTATTTATCATTCTCTACTTATTTCACTTAGCCTTATACACTTTAGCTCCATCCATATCATTGGAAATTGTAAGATTTCATTCTTTTTTATGGCTGAATAATATACCATTGGGTATATATATATATCACACCTTCTTTATCCATTCATCTATTGATGGACACTTGAGCTGCTTCCATAATTTGGCTATTGCAAATAATGCTGCTATAAACATAGCATGTAACTCTTTAAATTAGTTTTTTTGTATTTTTTTGGTAAATACCCAGTGTTGCATGTTTGGTTTGTATGCTGGTTTTATTTTTAACTTTTTAAAAAAGTTTTAATGTCTAATCATTTTTGAGAGACGGAGACAGAGGTTACATGGGAGTGGACCAGGGATAGAAGGAGACACAGAATCTGAACTAGGCTCCAGGCTCCAAGCTGTTGGCATAGAGCCCAATGTGGGGCTCGAACTCATGGACTCCGAGATCATGAATTAGGCAAAGTTGGATGCTTAACTGACTGATCCACCCAGGCATCCCTATTTTTAACTTTTTGAGGAATCTCCATACTGTTTTCCACAGTGGCTACACCAGTTTGCACTCCCATTAGCAGTGGAAGAGGGTGCCTTGTTCTCCACATCCTTGCCAACACTAGGTGTTTCTTGTGTTCTTGAGTTTGGTCATTCTGACAAGTGTGAGGTGATATCTCACTGTAGTTTTGATTTGTATTTCCCTGATGAATGAGTAATGTTGAGCATCTTTTCATGTGTCTGTTTGCCTTCTGCATGTCTTCTTTGGGGAAATATCTGTTCATTTCTTCAGTCCGTTTTCTCATTGGATTATTTGAATTGGGTGTTGAATTGAATAAGTTCTTTATATATTTTGAATACTAATCCTTTATCAGATACATAATTTGCAAATATCTTCTCCCATTCTGTAGGTTGCCTTTTAGCTTTGCTGGTTGTTTTCTTTGTTGTTCAGAAGGTTTTTATTTTGATACAGCCCCAAAAGTTTACTTTTTAAAAAATTTCCCTTGCCTCAGGAGACATATCTAGAAAAATGTTCCTATGGCCAATGTCAGAGACATTACTGCTTGTGCTTTTTTCTAGGATTTTTATGGTTGTACATCTCACATTTAAGTCTTTAATCCATTTGAGTTTATTTTTGTGTATGTTGTGAGAAAGTGATTCAGTTTCATTCTTTTGCATGTTGTTGTCGAGTTTTCCCAGAACCATTTGTTGAAAAGACTGTCTTTTTTTCTTTGCATATTCTTTCTTGCTTTGTTGATTGTGGGAGCCCGACAGTGACCACAAGAAAGCGTGGTTAGGGACCCGGGGATGTGCCTGCACATGGGGCTCCCTGCCTGGGCAAAGCATGCCTGCAAACAGGATGCTCTGCCAGGAGGCCTGCACACAATATCCAAGTTTAATGGTCTGCTCGCAAACGAGGGAACATGCCCTCCTTAGAAGTAAGGAGAAGGCTGGAATTGTGGGCAGGCCTCGTAGTAAACATGTTGTGGTCGCTTCCTCCCTTTGCTCCCTGCTGTCCTTGAAATGTGTTTGGCTACTTGCCCTTAATTGATAAAGGAATGCATCTTGTAGATTTCAGTTTATATCCAGTTACCGGGGTATAAAATAAACCGCAAGAGGGGCTTGCGTAGAATTGTTCCTCTGGCCGGAGTTGTGTCTGTGTCTGTCTTTTGTGTGTGTCTTGTCCTTTGTGTCATTTCGTCCGCAACAGTTAATTAGTTGACCATATAATAGCGGGTTTAGTTTTGGTTTTCTATTCTGTTCTGTTGATCTATGTGTCTACTTTTATACCAGTACCATACTGTTTTGATTACTACAGCTTTATAATATAACTTGAAATCTGGAATTATAATGCCTCCAGTTTCGTTTTCAGGATTGCTTTGGCTATTTGGGTTCCATATCAAATTTAGGACTTTTTGTTCTAGTTCTGTGAAAAAGGCTATTGCACTAAATCTATAGATTGCATTAAATCTGTAGATTGCTTGGGGTCATATAGACACTTTAACAATAATCATTCTTCTAATCCATGAGCCTTTTCATTTCTCTGTGTTGTCTTCAATTTCTTTCATCAGTGTTTTATAGTTTTCAGAGTACAGGACTTTCACCTCTTTGGTTAGGTTTACTCCTAGCTATCTTATTATTTTTGGTGCAATTGTAAATGGCATTGCTTTCTTAATTTCTCTTTCTGCTGCTTCATTATTAGTGTATTGAAATGAAACAGCTTTCTTCACATTGATTTTGTATCCTACAACTTTAATGAATTCATTTACTATTTCTACTAGCTTTTTGCTGGAGTCTTTAGTGTTTTCTATATATAGTATTATGATATCTGCAAACAGTGAAAATTTTACTTCTTCCTTGCTGATTTGGATGCCTTTTATTTCTTTTTGTTGTCTGATTGCTGTGCCCAAGACTTCTAGTAATGTGTTGAATAAAATTGGTGAGAGAGGACATCCTTGTCTCCACTCCTGGCTTTAGGGGGAAAGTCCTCAGTTTTCCCTCACTGAGTATGATGTTCACTTTCAGTTTTTCATATACGGGTTTTATTATGTTATAGCAATAAGCCTTTTAGAGAAAGTTAATGTTTTGAAATGGGGACAATTTTTTAAAATGTTTTATTTATTTTTGAAAGAGGGAGAGTCATGTCAGGGAGGTGAGGAGAGAGATGAGGACAGATGATCCAAAGCAGGCTCCATGCTGACAGTGGGGAGCCAATGTTGGACTCAAACTCATGAACCATGAGGTGACCTGAGCTGAAGTCGAACGCTCAGTGAACTGACACCCAGGTGCTCCAAAGTGGGAAACAATTTTAAATGTATTAGGACTTTCTATGAATTTAGAAAGAATATTTTATAACATGGAAATTTTTTTATTAACAGTTTTAAAACAACTTAAAAAAAAAGTAGATTCAGTTGATTTATGATTCAAACTATATTCCTGGAAAACAAAGATAACCTTAGGAAAATTTCGGAATTGTGTAGAAAGTTTGTTTTACTATTTCCACATAAGAGCGTTTTCATCCATCTTCCCCATTTTCTCTAAGCATCTACTATTTCTCTTGTTCTCTTCCCATCCAGGGGATTTCTCTTCAATTACTCAAATACTAACTATAGTACATTCTTCACATGTGATATTTTATACTCCATCAAAGTATGCTTGTCTTATGTCTCAAGACTAAAGGTCATTTTGATATCATTGTTTATGGGGGCCATTAAAATAAAGCACCCCTTTTTTTAAAGAGAGTACTACAGGGACAATATTAATTCAAAAGTTTTCTTTTAGGATGACTAATCCTTTTCTTTATGAATATCATTGCAGTCTATATATTATTATAGTATATTATGTAGATGACTCTCATTTCTATTAGGTTATAAGATAATTGAGACTGAATCATGTCTGAATTATATTTAACTCAGCATCTAGAACATAGTAGTATCTAGCACATAGTAAGTAGGTAGTTAATAATAGTGGATTTAGTATGTAATTAAATCACTGAATTTCAAATATTATAAGATTTTGAAAGTATGGAAGGAAGCAGAATATTGTCTTTCCTCAGAACCATAAATTCACTGATTTGGCATAAATTATGCTTGGTTATAATTTCAAATAGTAAGACCTTAATGGGAGATACTAGTTTCATTTTTTAAAATGTGCATGCTATTTTTAAAACATTTTTAGTACAATTTTGGTTTAAACAATAACTTAGAACCTGTCATTTCTGAGTGCAGTTTGCTTGTCCGTTTCCTTTCTTACAAGAAAATTATATTTATTTTTTATTAGTGTCAATTTTAAACAGAACCTAGTCTTTAGTATCCAAATTATTATTTCTCCCATTTTTGTAGTGAAGGGGTATTCACCACTTTTGCTGTTCACATTCTTAGGTATTCAGACTGATCAGAAATCTTCCTATATAGCAGATATATGTAACTTTATATCCTGGGGATCCTGTTTTATTTATATATAAAGATATAAATGACAGTGAAAATATTTTAAATGATATATATATAATATATAAATAGCCTTTTCATGAATAAGTCCAATAATGTTCTTTATGGACCATTTTTATATCAACTCTTTAATATTAAAAAATCTTTAAATCACAGTTTTATAAAGGCAATGTTATAGGACACTAAAAAGATAACTTCCTTGAAGAAATTTCTTGGTGATCTGATCCGATATGGTAGTAGAACTTACAGAATCTAGAAAGATGACTACTTAGCATGTTTCATTTTCATTCTGTGATTTTGTGTCACACAAGCTTTTCACAGAATCAGACATTTTTTAAGTCTAAAGTGAACTCTCTGGCCAGTGACTGAACTGCTGCCTTTTATTGTTTTGATTGAAAAGAAATTTCAATGTATGCTTATAAATAACCAAATACATTTAACATTTGCTACTATGGACTTAACTATGTCCTCCAAAATTCATAACTTGAAACCATAACCCACAATGTGACTGTATTTGGGGATGAAGTCATGATGGTAGGGCCTGATATGTTCGAATTAGTGTCCTTATAAGAAAAGACACAAGAGAGCTCAGTCTCTCTACTGCGTGAGGATACAGTGAGAAAGCAGCTGTCTAAAAGCCAGGAAAAGAGCCTTCACCTAAAACA